AACTATTACGTGAGGAAAATCTAAGAACCTCCACTCATGTGCCGCCTCCTTGGGACAAAGTATCACATAAACCTGGTAAAATGGCATGGATAAATGATTTCAAGGCAACACAACTTAAGTAAGCTATTGGTTTGGGCCAAGGGAAACATCGTAAGTGTTTAAGCAAATATCCAAAACAGGGGAGGAGATAGATGTGTTTGGGAAGGAATTACAAGATTAGCAAAACCAAAAATATGAAAATAATTACTTTGTCATTCCAGACGGCCATTTTATTCATTCAGTTTCAGACAGTTACCGCAGAGAATGATGCTGTGGCGAAATTATAGCATACGTCGTTGGGTTCACACAGTATTTAGTAATTAATATTACGAGATTAGCATTTAGTCTTTGATAGCTTCCGCTGAAAACTCGCTGCAATCCCAGGTTTCGGTGGCAAGGGAGTTTGTGTACACATTTGACGTTCTTTGTTTCCTGCGTTTTGCTGCCTCTAGCATCTCCAGGTTGCGCTTCAATCAAGGTCACTAAGCTTGGATGGCTTTTTCTACTAGACGGTGCACCTAAGAGTGTTCATCATCGGAAATATTAATGGGTAAAATGTCCCGCATTTCCTCCACAACAAGCCAATGTGCTCATTTTTAAATCTCGCAGGGTTCACAGTTGTTTTGAACATCTGTGGTGAAGTTGTTTGATTTAAATAATCGCCCGATTCCGAGAGGTAGTGTGCAACACACGTGAGCTAAGCCAGTAAACATAGTCATAACTATGACTTACTTAAACAAAGCAACTGTATTCAACACTGAATGACAGAGTATTCCGGACTGAGCATTCCGAATTGTGCAAAGACTGCGCTAGCTCCCTTCATGGTCGGATGGTACTCTGACCGGCTGCCACAGTTTGTTATCAACTACGAGAAATAGGAATTCGGCAGGAATTACTATCACCAGATTATTTATGAACACCAAAACTAAACGAGACCATTGCATTGAGAGTTGCGGCACACAGAAATTAAACTCATTTGCATCGAATAGGCATTATTGCATTCCCAAATCTAATTGACGTTTGATCAAGAATTGCCTGTAAAACGCAGCAGGCAACTGCCAAGTTTCTAGGTATACATTTACGGAGAAGAACTGCACAGAGAAAAAATATACCGTAATTCATAAATACTACGTCTTCAGCTGCAGTAGCTAAACTATAGGAAAATGACGATCGTAACCAAGGAAAGCACAACTGCTGTTTTGCAAATATTAAAGAACATAATAAGCATAAATCAACAATACTGTAATGCACTGATGCGCTTACATGCCGTTTGCCTGGTTACACAAAAATGGATGTTCTGTTCCCTCGGCGTGTTTAGTGGCAATAGACAACTCAAGAAATTTAAGTTTCCAGTAAATACAAAAGGGAGCTATGGCCCTGTTAAATAGTTTTAAATAGTAGGAAAAAGCAGGCCAAGCACCAGCTTCCGGGCTACACCAACGCACGAATGGAGGAACTCCGACACGTCCTCTACAAACTATAACCGTCCAATCGACAAATTGTGCTTGACCCCAAGCGTCAATACGAATGCTCGGGTGCTCAGCGTCAACCTCTTTCACTTCCACTTCTTTTGTCGCCAACATGACGTGCAGACAGGACCACAAACTGCACTGCCTGATGGCCAATCCAGGAATAGGATGCAGCAGAATAAACGATCCAAAGTGTATAAGAAGTGTAAACGACTAGGAGTACGAATGTATACGCAAACCATTAACTGAAGTGCTCGACACTTTTGGTTCGCCAGCCATTTCCTTGTTGTGCCATCGCTCAATAGCCTGGCGACGGGTACGATGATAGCGTACTGAACTATTCTTACAGCTCGTATTGCACAGCGCATAAGCTTTTGTGGAATTAGCAACGAGTGCATGTGTGGCTGACCTATGTTGTACGCCAGAGGATAGAGGGCGCGTGCTCAGCCTATTGTTCGCAAAGACTAGGCATCAAAGGGCACCCGCTAGGCTGAATTAACAATGCCTGCTCTGTTGTGGATAACCGTACTCGCCACATGATAGACATTGAGCAGTGAGCTTACTGTTTACCGTAGTAAGGCAAGAAACCACGCGCCCTTGGCTGAATTAGCAATGTCTACTCTAAGTTTGGCTAACTGTACGCGCCCTTGAATGGACAGCGAGCATTCGGCCTATTTTTCTCTATGTCTAGGCATTTGTACGCATGCGTTTGGCTGAATTAACCATTACTGCCCTGCTTTTAGTTAATTTTGTGTGACATTAGAAATGCAGTGCGCAGTCAGATTATGACAAGGCAAATTGTAAATTATTGCCAATTGATTTGAAGCTCACTACCATGGCGATGGGATTTGAGCATATATTGCCGTCATCGAAATACCCAATCTGAATCGCGTAACGTGCATTTTACTCAGCGAGGATTTATTCTTTGTCTGTAAAATGAGTGCGCATCGAAGGCTGAAGAAACCACTCGCCAATATTACAATATCCACCGAGCCATGCTGCCTATCTACGGACGGTAAGTGCTTAGACTGTTGAAAACTTTTAAGAAAACTGGGAGCTTGTGCGACACGAAAACCTCGGGCTGCCTCTCATCACAACAGTTAAGTTTATACTTGCGGGGGATATCTGTGTGGTATTCAGAAGGGGGATCTAAGCTGGCGCTGCATTGAAACGCCTCCCGACATGATGTGGTCAAGAGTAAAAGGAAAGGAAATTCCGTAATTATAGGCCTTGAGACTGCAATTTTGGAACACATGCGATTACGAGAAATGGCATCATTTTTCCCTAGTTTTTTGAATACCATGGACATCCAGTCCAGTCTTCTTTCCGACGAGGTAGTTTTCAAATTGCATGGTTCAGCGTGTTTGCGCAACTTTTAACATACGGCGTTGCAACGCTTTACGTAAGCAACATGGCACATAACTCAAGTTATGAGATGAGTTAACTGGTCAAAAACCGTGGAACCATTTTCTTTTCCAGTATTATTTCGCAGTATAATGCCTTACGTTTTCTATTGCCTTCCTACAAGGAATTGGCGTAGAACTCTGTAATTCCGCAAATGGAAGTTGCAACGTTATTGGGTACCTATTGTTGGCAACAAAATGGCTCACCTGCATACTATGCACAAACGGTAGTTGAATATCTCAACTAGACAATCAATCGGGGTGGAAAATGAACTGGTCTACGCGATCATCAGATTTGAATCCGTGGGGTTTCTCAGTGGGGTTACTTGGAACGAGGAGTTTATGAAACAAAGCCCAATTCGCTTGAGGAACTAAAAGAGATCATTTTGAACGAATGGCACGGGGTCATAGTGGAGTCCTTGGATAAGATGCTCGCCAACACCATCAGGCTATTGCTGCACTAGATGCAAAACGCTTGTGGGCGATTTGAACATCTACTTCTTTGACATTTATGACCATTAAACTGCATTTCTTTAAATATATGATTCAACCAATGATTTAAGGACGAAATAGGTGCTTTGGTAACTGGTGCCAATAGTATTGCGATGCAGACTGAATGCTAAGGCCGTTGCCTACAGGTAATATGACGGTAACGTAAGAAATTATTAAGCGTCGGGTGTTAAAATGTCACATCAAAGCTTTGCAAGGAAAGAGTAGTTCCTAGCAGCAGGCTCCACCATTGCAACAAAAGCAATCTAACGCTAACTAATGGTTTGTTGGTAGCACGTTTTGAGAATGCAACAACCTTGGCCATGAATGTAGGTAGTCATCAACCATTATACACTAACCGACAATGGTACGTTGATCGTTCGGAACGATATTGGTCTCCATACGTCAATTAGAGTAGTGTCTTCATCAGCCGGCTTTAATACAACCTAGCGCGCGTTTTTGCCCAGTCACTGCAAAGAAACAACCTGACTATACAATGCCTAATTTATGGCACGTACCGTTTGCCAAAATTAAAGTAGACATTGCTATTTCAGCAAAGGGCGCTTGGTTTCTTGCCTTGCTACAGTAAACAATAGCCTGACTGTTCAATGTCTATCATGTGACACGTACGGTTATCCAAAACAGAGCAAGTATTGTTAATTCAGCCTAGCGAGTGCACTCCGATGCCCAGTCATTGCGAACAATAGTTTGAGCACGCGTCCTCTATTCTATTGTGTGCGTTGATAATTCCACAAAATCTCATGCGCTGTGCAATAGGAGCTGTAAGAATAGTTCAGTACGCTATCATCGTACCTGTCGCCAGGCTGCTGAGCGATGGCACAACAAGGAAATTGCTGGCGAACCAAAAGTGTCGACCGCTTCAGTTAATGGTTTGCGGTTACATTCGCACTCATAGTCGAATACACTTCTTATGCACTTTGGATCGTTTATTCTGCTGCATCCTATTCCTAGATTGGCCATCAGGCAGTGCAGTTTGTGGTCCTGTCTGCACGTCATGTGTGGCGACAAAAGGAGTGGAAGTGATAATGGATGACCCTGAGCACCCTTGCATTTGTATTGACGCTTGGGGTCAAGCACAATTTGTCGATTGGACGGTTATAGTTTGTAGAGGACGTGTCGGAGTTCCTTTATGCGTGCATTGATCGGACACGGAAGTAACTGCTGGATTAGTAATTTTGGACTACCTGTACCACGTGTTCCAACGCGCCGAAAATATTCCGTTTTTTGTAATATTTTGCCTGCGCATACATCCTAATCCAGTCCTCTTGCGATAGTTGTTTTCACTGCGTTTTAGCTCGACTCGGGAGTTCAAGTTGCTTCCTCGTTCCAGCGTATTGAGCCTATTTTACCTTGAGCTGGCTTCGCCGCGCACCACTCATACTTGGATAACGCTTACGTCGAATATCTTACGTACTTGGGGATAAAATATTTGCCAAAGTAAAGGGTCACCCACATTGGCCGTGTTGTGGTGAACGTTCCCAATGGAAAGTTTCCCATTTTCTTTTATGGGACGCACGAAGTCTATTTTCTGGGTCCAAAGGACATATTTCCATACGAGAAGTTCAGGCACAAGTGTGGCATGAACAGGAACAAACCCGCATTCCAAGCCGGTTTGCGTGAGATAGAGGAAAATCCTGATATGCTTCTCTACGGGAAGGACCCGGACGCCGAAGCGTTTCTTGCTCGTTTATACAAATTCACTCCTGGGTTACCGAGTGGTACTTCGGTGGCATCAAAGAATGGGAAGAGGCATCTTGCCAGTCGACACCTCGACAATGAGCCTCCTGCCAAACGTGTCCATACAGAGAAACCCGTGTCTGCACCACGCGCTATCAATTCTTCTAGTTCCAAAAAGTCCTATTCCAAACCGGGAAAAGCCCCACCATCTGTTTCACATCGGAAACCGAAGCCACAGCAAGCCCCTACACCTGCAACAACTGCTGAGGAAATTAACGAAACGCCTGCGCCCTCCCAGCGAGTCAGTTCTCTACGTCTAAGAATACGGAAGGGCAAAGATGGATTGAAAGTTTCATCAGCTCCAACTCCAACTCCGTCAGATCTCTCACCTGTGCTTGGCTCTTTTGCGGAAGTCAGCACACTCTCGATCAACGACCCACTACGAATAACGATTAAGCAACTCCACAGCACCTGCACTACGGTTGGCAACCATGCGGGTTCTCGAGCTGCTCCCGTGTTCTCTGTGACGACTACTACGGTCATTCAAGCTCCTCCCACCACTCTGACGGGAGTTTGTGTGAAATACCCGCCTTCGTCTTGCAAAAAATGCACTGCAGTCGTCACACCCCTTCGAAGGGACGAAGCTCCTCCTTGTCCGAAGGATGAGCTTGTCAGTCTATCGGCCTCTAGTGACGATTACGAAGAGACAAGGTCGACGGATCTTGAAAGAATTGGTACTCATCCTTTGAAACAACTTGAGTCACACGTTTTACGACGTGATCACAGACAATGCACTACTGGAAAAGGGAAAGAGGTAGAAAAACCGAAGGCTTCCCTTAGTGATGATATTGCTTGCCAGAAAGCAATTTGTACTCCCTCGGATGCAACTAAGGCAGAGGAGTTCGCTCGCAACTCCCCGAAGCCTACGTCACCCGTGTTGCCACATGCTGGACACATCCCTGCAGATTTACCATCTCCAACTATCCCTCCTGCTGTTCCTTCCGACGTTTGCATTACGGAGCCGAAGCAACAACAAGAACAGCAATTACGGGATCTGGACACAGAAGCTCGCCTGCTCCTCATCGACCGGTCCATCAAATCCAGCTTGGTGCAAGATCATGAGGATATCGCTACCTGTGTGGATCGTTTGGAAATGCTTGATCGTATTTCTACCACACTCCCCGTGTTGGCTAAGTGCTGGACAGTTGTACAAACAATTGGAAAATGTCGGCGCTACAAGCGATCGATGGAAGTGAAAATCGCTGCCCAGCGTGTCTTTAATAATTTCCTCCAATTGTATGCCACTTCGGATAAAACCGAGCTGGACTTAGCCCTTGCGGAACTCATGCGTCATCAGCAACGGCACATTAAGCAACATGCTCATGTCAAGACAGATATTCCGCCGTATACAGGACCTAAATCCATGTCGGAGTTATTCCAGGTCTCCGCTGGTGTGCTTGCCGAACGCAGGAGTGTCGGTCTCGGAACTGCACACCAGCCAGGAATTCAGTCACCCCTATCTACCTCGCCTGTTGTTTCCGAAAAGCTCCCGAAGTCTGTTGATGTCTCTACTTTTCCTGCTCACCAAACAAGCTACCAGACCATCCTCGATCGAGTGGTCAGTTCCGAAAGGACGATTTCCGGTCTTTCGCTGCCAAGCAGTTTGTCTGTCCGTGACATTCCCTTACCAGCCGAGGTACCTGCAGGGGTTTCCAAGTCTCTCATCATTCATGCCCCACCTACCGCACTACCAGCGAACGTGAACACAGAAGAGGAGTATGAAGTATTAGATGAGTATGAGGCGACATCTGAAAACAAATTGGGTTTTGAACAACTTGACATGCTTCCACCCTCTTCCACGGCAACGGCTACCTCTATCGAGCGTGCACCGACATCTATGGTTGAGACCCAAATAATTCCCTACGATATGGTTCCACCACATATGTTACCTGGTCCCGATGGTTCTCTCCCTCCTGCTTTTCGCTCCAGCAATGCGTCCTTCCCCCCGAATTCGACTGTAGTACCTTCTTGTTCCCACATGTGTTCTCTCCCATCTGTCTATTCATCCAGTTGCCTATCCAGTTCGGTACGCCGTCCGCAGTCATACGCTGCGACCCCCAATTCACTAAACACTGACGCGCCGTTTCCGCAAATTGCTTCCAGCGTTTACATTCCTCATGGGTTACACAATGATCCTACATGACTATACAAACCGTACGTCCAAAGTCGATCTGATGTCAGTCAGATGTCTCCCAAAAACCTGAATCTTTGCCGCTAAAGGCGGATTATCGCGCTCGGCAGAGTTCACTCACTCATCCTGTCCCGTTAAGTGCAACACGCTCTACGTCCCCTTCGTCAGGCACTAGCTTTTGCTCCCGAAATGATGTGAATGATCGCCGCAGTCGTGGCCATAACAGTCAGCGACCTACTAATTCTTCCCAACATCGAACACGTAGTCCATATGCTGCTGCAGTATATTTTGTTTTAGTTTTATCATCCATCATGTAATATGTTGGAACTCTTATTGGAGCCCGTAAAAATGTGCCTTAAAAAACCTAATAAATTAAAACGTTAATCTCTATTCGTCTCATTCGAAATAGTCTCCAAATTCCCCCACCGGTTTCTTCCAAAATTTAAAGCAATATAATAGATTGCTGTCAGTTTTACGTAATTATCTTATTTTTTAGATATCATTTTTATTGAAAAAATTTAAGGCGTTAATGTTTTGATGTACTATGCCTTATTTTTTGTTTTGCATTATATATGATTTTACGCATCCGTCTAAATAAATGCATGTGGAATAATATCGCAAATGTTAGGTGATTTGAGTGACAGCATTCAATTTGAAATTTGACAATAATATGGCGTTCCATTTGCAAGTAATTTTTAGATTACTTTGCATTGTTTTCCTTTCTTTTTAACGCTTTCTCTTAGACTTCATTGCAGTTGGTGGGGGAAGTATACAATAGTTTGCTGTACTTTTTACTATAACTATTTTTTGTCAAACTTAATGTGTTGTTTTTTTTGATTTTGCTTTATGTATTCTATTGTTTTGAAAATGTTTATGCAATGTTTATACATGAGTGATGCATCGTAGATCATCAAGCTAACACCGTAGTACACGCACATCAGAGGCAATGTAAGGAGCACCAGCAAATCAATTTTAGTAACACACCCACATAGAATGGCTCAGGTACATGCAGTGCGACATGCAACCAGAATTGATCAGGCAAGGTTACGCAAACGATTACGTTTTGCAGCTTCAGGTTTGCTTCCTTCTCAACAGAAGGAATGCGAGATGCTGGGGTTGGATGATAATCCTTAACTAGAAAGAGCATGTAGATGTTTAACACTACCACGTGCACAGCAATCGCTCAGTTGTAACTGGCCTGCATACCGATACAATCCAGCTTTATATTATGGTTTAAATAAGCATGTGCTAATTGGTACCATGACTGAAGTTTGTCCGTATTTCAAGGGGCTGAACTATTTTGAGGCAAAGAAATTGATGCGCTGTGTTGCAGGAAACTGAAACTGCCTCAAATGGAAGAACCGGGTGAGCCACCAATAAGTTTGTTGAGGATACCGAGGAATCAAAATATTTCTTCTCTTACATCAGGAAATACAACTCATGCTTCCAAATGATATCTTTGGTGCAGAAATCGCAGCAGCTCCATTCACGTCAAATTTCAAAGTACAAGAACCTATTTATCATAAATCCGGATCACAGCGTTTTTTCCAGATGATGAAGATAAATTTTTACAGAAGTAATTCATTCTTGATGACAGTGATGAAAGGATGCACATTGCGGAAGTTCTGCCGACATAAAAATGTTCGACTATTTCCCAATTGTAAGAGATACATATTCCCCAAAATTCCGTGATTGCGTTTGTTCAATATATCTAGTGATATGATGAGATCTGTTACAGACAGAATTGTCATTTTTGCTGACCATACACTAACTGGAGAATGTGTGCGAAAATTCAACGCACCAACTATAGACGAAGTTATAATCGCTGTAGTCGGAGATCAATTCGAAGCGAGAGATATTGTTCTTCACCGACCAATCAGCTGAGAAAAGTTGTCGACACGCATAGGCGTTAATAAACTCTGCAATTTCCTACCATTTTTGGCATGCCGCTGATGGATATCAATTCAAAATCAATATAATGAATCCAATCAGTGGCGAAGGAAAACGCAATGATTCAACAGAATGAACACAACCACATTTTGAAATGTTGTCAATTGTTTCAATAATACTTCGTTGATAAGAGCAAAAAATCGAAACGGAAGGTTAAGTATTCCCCCGCATGTATCAAACCAAGCTTCGCTCTGAAGAACACTTTCATTTAAGTGATGCAGCTGTGAATGACGGTATTGCCTTCCTCATATACAGGCAGTCCGCGTCATATGCACGAAGACACTCAATAGGCAATTGCGTATGTTCATCTTTACAAACGTCCTGGATTATTCAGTCCTTTCACATGCAATCCAACTTGGGACGATATGCAAGAGTTCTTACTCCCTGGGCATTCGCCGGTGGATAGGCATGACATCACAGCAGGTGTTTTCAGACAGAAGATGAAATCACTGATGCAATACCAAGCATTTGGATCGGTGCGTTGTTAGATGCACTCAGTAGCATGGCAAACGGGAGAATTGCCATACGCACTTTCAGCAAAATCGAAGATAAAGTAATCGCTGAAATACCCGGTCATGTAGTCGATAAGAATTTGTGTGACGAAAAGTTGTGACGAAAATTATGCTGCACATATTCTGCGGATTACTGAATTCAAACTCCCCATACATGATAGACTGCAAATGTTGAAAGCGGTATCCTTAAGTATTGTTCTCAAATACGGTTAAATATAATGATAGCTACCCCTTATAGAAAGAGGATAAGTAGAAGACGGCTGTAAGCTAGTCACTATACAAATGCAAAATGGGGATTTCGTAATCGATAAAGGATGGGTTGTGCCATATTCGTCGTTACTGTCCAAAACGTACAAGGCACAAATAAACTTGGAATACTGCAACTCCGTTAAATCCATCAAATACACATGTAAATACGGGCACAATAAAAGACGACATGACAATTTATGTCTTGAAACCGAAGAAACGTGATGTGAAACGGGGTATATTTATAAAAGAAGTTGCCTAGTAGATACATTTGAAGCAATGAATCTGTATGGCACATTCTTTCATTTCCTCTACACGAAAAAGTGCAACTGTCGTTCACCTAGAAGTACAGCTGGTATACACGTGAGGCATTTAATACACACCTGCAAATATTCAACAAATGGCACTGAATCCACCAGCCACAACGGTAAATTCTTTCTTTACAATATGTCAGCATGTTGCGTTTGGAAAAGCACTGCTTATTTCCGATATGCCCACGTATTTAACTTGGAATATTAGTAAAATATCTTTTGAAGGACGCGAAGGATGAGTATGGGTTGTCGGACAACCTGTCATCTTTAAGGAAATGACCATATGCAGATTGTACACCGTGCATCCCAATCTAGGTCAGTGCATTTTCCTTCGCATCTTGTTACTCACTAGGCTTTGTCCTACCTCTTTCCAGCAATTGAAGTTTGTCGACGGTGTTACACATGCCACTTTCTCCAGTGCATGTTAAGTTCTGCATTTCTTGGAAAACCACGGACACTGATACGGAACACTGGTACGCGCATCAAGTTACATCCTACTCAACTGCGCATTGTTTGCGATGATTTTAGTCGCTTTCTCTTCATATTCTGCAACATGGCTGAAGATATTTCCCATCGAATAAGCAAAATGTGCGTTGCTAGAAACACATAATTTCCAGCATAAAAATGCCATGACTCCTTATTAATGATTGATGTGTGCTTAGAAATCGCGAACGTACCTTAAAATAATTGAGTTCATCACCAATTTGATCTGCAGCTGCTTTGTTTGAGGCCGAATTGCGTCGTGAAGGTAAGTACAACATGGGCCATCTTTCTTCGCGTGTGCAAACTAAAATTCCTAGGTTAACACTGGATCACAAAGGTCTTTACGATCAAATAATGTAAACTGTCGATGATACTGTTGGGCAAGTTTCTTATTAGTTGCGCCTGGAGTACCTGTAAAACGTTCCAACTAAGATTGATTCTTGCGGCAATTAGATCACATGATAACATAGGCTTAGCTCTCGAGTCCTTTGAAAGAGCTGCGACATTGCTATTTAAAGGGAAGGTCGATTTGCCACTAAACATTCAATTCACTGAAACACACGTGCAACATTTCTAAATCACCCAGAATGGGCAAAGTGTTGTAAAGTGTAAAATAATTGTTTGGGATGAATGAACAATAACGCACAAAAATCGCTGGAAGCAGTTCGTCGATCGTTGCAAGGTTTGCAAGGCAACAGCAAACCATTTGTAAGCGGGTTACAATTGCTTGTAGGAGATTGCAGCAAAGCTTTTCTGTAATTCCTCGAGTTACAGCAGCGGACGAATTAAATTATTGCATGAAATACTCTGCTTTGTGGCGTCACGTTAAGACGTTAAGACGCCAATATGTGTATGCAGCTTCAACCCATTAACTCAGCTGAGATATTCCCACTTTAATTACTGGATATTATGAACGGAAAGTTGACGTTTGTTTGGCCTCAGGAAGAATTTCATTGACTAATAACTTCCGCAAGTTTGTGATGTCAAAATAAGAACTGCTTGAAAATGTATTACCCAATGTTCAAACCAATTACCCGAATCACGATTGGCTGAGGGATATTTGCAACCAAGAACCAGAGCATCAATGAACTGAACAGAATTCACTCTAAAATTGCAAGCAAAGTATTCGAATATAAGTCCGTCGAAACTGGGTTGGAGGCAGATGAAGCAGTTGCTTATCCAACAGAATTTTTGAATTCATTCAGGCTGCCAGGAATAGCACTGTACGTACTTAAATTGAAAATGATCACGTAATATTGCGAAATGTCAACCAGCTGAAGCTTTGTAACGGCACGCGGCTTGCAGCAAAAGGATTATTCAGCAACGTCGTACAGGCAGCAACCTTTCAAAGGTGAAGAGGTCCTCATTCCTCGTATTCCGATATTTTCTACTTATACACCACCTCAATTTAGGAGACTGCAATTCCTTATTCCTTTTTCCTTTGCAGTTACAATCAACAAAGCTCAGCGCCACTCTTTTAATGTTTGGGCTTAGAGCTACGCACCGATTGGTTTTCACATGGGCAATTATATGTTGAGTGTTCTGGAGTCCGCAAACCTGCCAATCTCCATACCTGCACAGACAAGATAGCAAGCAAACACGTGGTCTACCAACAAATATTGGAAATTTAATCTATTACACAGATGACTTCTTATATACCAGTTTCATTTAACCTGACAACGGAACTACACACAATATTGCATAAAGACAGGTGTTATGAAACTGAATATATTCCAAAGGTGGGAATTTTCTTTTCCAACATTTTTATTCAAC